AAAGTATTTCTTGTTTCCTAATGTAAGCATTTGTGACTACAAACTCCCCTCTTAGCATTGCTTTTACTATGTGCCCTAAATTTTCTCTACATATTTTCTAGTTGCCATTGTGATTTCCTGTTTGGTCCACTGGTTATTAAGAGTGTCTTGTTTAAATTTCCATAAATCAGGGTGGGGTTGTGGCTCAAGTTTAGAGTGCTCACCTAGCACGTGTGAGGCACTGGGTTCGATCCTTAGCACCACATAAAAATAAAATAAAGATATTGTGTCCAACTAAAAAAAAAAAGTTTCCATAAATATTTTAACTTTGCAATTTTACTTCTGTTATTGATTTCCAACTGCATTCTATCATGATCAGAGAACATACTTTGTAAAGTATCTATCTTTTTAAATCTTCTGAAAATTACTTTGTGGTCTAATATATGATTCACCCTGGAAAATGTCTGTGGAGAGCCATCCGTGGACTATATGTGGTCCAAATCGGCAATGGAAACCACTGAATAGGAAAATGTGGTATTTGGGAACTTCCAGTGTCAATCCCGCTAGTAAGATCACCCAGATACATGTGAACCTGACTCTACCAGGTCCTACACAGCACCAGAGATGGGGTGACCTGCTGTGGCCACATAGCCTCTCTGAGATGAGTGTAGCCTGTCAAGATGCCAATCAAACTGCTAGACTGCAAGACATCATGAAGCAAGACTCCACCCCTGAAACCTTATCCCTGCCTTTGATACACCCTCTTAAATAAAACCACTGGAGCCATTTTCAAATTGTTCAGCTCCAGCTCCTATGTGGGCTGGACCTATCAGGTGCTCTGCATTTAAAACTATTTTTCTGTCTTTGTTTTTTATTTCTTCACTAATTATTTCAGACTTTATTTTCTCAGGGGGCTTATCTCCTCCTGAACAGGAAAAATTACCCTAGTGAAGTACTGGCCACCTTTCGATAAAATGTCCCACATACACTTGAAAAGAATTGTTTAATCTTGTCAGATCTGGTTGGTTTCTTGTGCTGTTGGAGTCTTTTATTTCCTCATCTTCCATCTGGTTGCTCTACTGAGAGTGGTGTACTGATTCCTCCAACTACCACTGGAGAACATGTGTTTCTCCCCTCAATCTTTGTCTCACGTATTTTGATAGTTTGTTAATAGTGCATAAGTTTTTATCTAGTTCTATTGATCTTTTATTAACACATAATGACCTCTGGTCCTTTTTGTCCAATATTAACAGTCTCCTCTGTGCTCTTTGGGAGGTTATTTGCAAGAATTGCCCCGTCCATCATTTTACTTTCAACCTGTTTGTATCTGGGGATCTAAAGTGAGCCTCCTATAGACCACATATGGGTGGATTATGTTTTTATCCACTTTGCCAGCCTCTGCCTTTTGACTAGAGAGCTTAAACCATTTACACTTAAAGTAATTACTGATAAGGGAACAATGACTTTTGTCATGCTGCTATTTGTTTCCTACACAACCTCAGAGCTTTTTTGTCCCTCATTTCACATATTCCCTTTTTTGGGGACTGGATACCGGGGATTAAATTTAGGGGCACTAGACCACTGAGCCATATCCCCAGACCTATTTTGTATTTTATTTAGAGACAGGGTCTCACTGAGTTAGTCGCTTAGAGCCTTGCTTTTGCAAGACTGGCTTTGAATTTGTGATCCTCCTGCCTCAGCCTCCCAAACCGCTGGGATTACAGGCATGAGTCACTGTACCCAGTGACTTTTCTAGTGTTCAACATTGATTTTTTTTTTTTATGTAAATGTTTAAATTCCCTTCTTATTTCCTTTTGTGCATAGTGTGTGTGTGTGTGTGTGTGTGTGTGTGTGTGTGTATGTGTGCGCACACGCACTTACCATGGAAATTATATTTAACAACGAAAGTTATCCTACTCCAATCTGAATTTGTACCAGGGTAACATCAATAACAAAAAAAGTAACAATTCCATGCCCATCCCTTTCAGTTCTTGAGATCATACAATAACATCTTTAAACACTGTGTATCTAAAATCATGAAGTGGTAAGTTTGGGGGGACTTTGTGTTTTTTGGGTTTTTTTTTGCGGGGGGGGGGTGTACTGGGGATTGAATCTAGGGGCACTGAACCACTGAGACACATCCCCAATCCTTTTTATTATTTGAGACAGGATCTTGCTAAGTTGCTTAGGGCCTCACCAAATTGCTGAGGCTGGCTTTGAACTTTGATTCTCCTGCCTAAGCCCCCCAAGTTGCTAGGATTATAGGTGTACAACACCTCCTCCAGTTTTCACATTTCCCTGTTTCTCTGCATGCCTTGTAATTTTTTGGTTGGAAACCGAATAGTTGCATCAAATAATATGGTAATTCTCCCTTCCCCAAGATTCATGGTCTGTTGTTATTTTGATTGTTTAGGGTGTCTCTGTTGAAGATCATCCTGACTGTAAACTTAAGGGCTTCTGGATCCCTTCTGAGTCTGCATCTTCCCTTGGGCAAGAAAATTGACTCTCTAAGTTTCTTCATTATACAGCTGGAACTAAATATCTTAGTCTTCGATGTCAGCTTCCCACAACAAGAAATAAAGGGGGAAAAATAGGCACCAGCCCCTAAGATCCACCAGAAGTCACCTCAGTCGTATGGGGAGGAGCTTCCCACAAAGTGGAAAGGTCAACAACAGTGGGCACAGCTGCTTGTCTGCACCTCTGTGACCAGATGGGGCATCAGCAAGCAGAGCACAGATCAGATATCTGCCATGGTGCTGGAGCTGAGGGCTGGGTAGCTGCTACTGTGCTCAGAGCTGAAAGTGATCAAAATGAAAGCATCTTGCAGTCCAAGGCCTCCCTGGAAGCTGGAAGCCTTTAACAGATTGCAGAATTCCAAACCAGACAGATTCTGCCAGTGCAAATGTTGTCTATCTAGGTGGACATAAATTTGTTACTTTTTACTCCACCATCTCCCATGAGTTCTTTTTCTACTTAAAATGTATTTTACTTTTCAGAAGTGTATATGCACATAAAAATATAATTTCCCACAACATGCTTTCATAAAAATAATGTTTCTAATAAAGTGGTAGGCAATTAAGGGTTTCCATTTGAGGAAATCAATGAACTTGCTGTAGGTATGGGGGGGTTCACCAATTAAGTTTACCAAATGCCATTCAGGAGACCATCTTAGGTAGGAAATGGTTAACCCTGGGATTCTTAACCCAGTATGTGATACCCTTCTAAAATGCAAACTCATCATCTCACCCTCCCATTAAAAAAGTCAAAGAATTCAAAAACAAGCTTTTACATCTCCAGATCCTCAAAGGAAGCAAAAGTCTAAACAGTTAAGAATGCTACACAAGGACTTCACAATGTGATCCTAAACTGCCTCTGTCTCCTTTTATTTTTATGACAAGCCCTTATGATCCTGCCATATTAAATGATTCGCCTGTTCCTGAAGCAAGAATTTGACTCTTCTGGGCTCCCCTGCCTGTCTGGCCTAGCACTCCCTGGGCCTGTGTAGCCCTCTGCCTATTTTCATTCGCAGGTGCACCCCTGCTCACTTCTCAAGTTCTAGCTCAATCCTGTTTCTCTGAGAAGACCTTTTAATGTCTATAAGCAAAGCCAGATATCCCTTTCCTCAGGAGTTCAGTAATGCTTTTTATTCAACTTTGTTACATATTTACTCATCAGTAAGCAGAGTACAGTGCACATAATTCACGCTTTATAAATGTGCAAGTTTGAATAAGAGACACAAACATCTAAAGCCCAGGGAATAATGATATATTTCTTCATAGAGATGAATTTTTGAAAATAGGATTTAGCCACTGGGAATATTTAAGTTCTTGATAAATCTTTTGATTGGTAATTTTAAGACACAATCTAGTATAACTTAAAAGCATCTGAAGTTTCATTTGCATTTAAAGTACATCTAGATAATCACATTTTTAAAAAACTAAATTTCAAGATATTCTTCATTTTTGTACATGTCTATTCCATCTTTACTCCACAAGATCTGTGATCCTATCTCTTTTTTGATTGACTCTAAGAATAGTAATTAAATTTGTTAAAAACTAATTAAATGAAACCTTTAATCAATTTCATTTACTCTCATGTTTTTTTTTAAGAGAGACAGA